CCAGTTGTCAAATCTATATAGCTAACAATATTTTAAACAAATATATTTATTTTTAAATAGTAAAAATAGATATCAAAGTGGTGAGAACCACTGCATATATTTATGTTCATGCAGTATAAACTAGATAAACAACTATTTTCATTTCAAGTCAAATTATTATTTTGTATTTACAATGAATTGGTTGTTTTTGTCAAACATAAATAATAAACTACTATATAAATCAAATTGTTTGTCTTTAAATCTAATACATACTTTTACTACAGAGCTATCCAGAAACAAATAGACTGCAAATTTTTTTGAAGAAAGCGAGAAAAGGACACCAAAACTCTCTAGATCCCGGCCAACCACCGTCCTCAAGCAGCATAGACGAGAAAACCAGATATAGACATAGAGACTCGCCCTTAATCATAACCAACAACACAGACCCAAAGCATCTGTACAACACAATCTCATGAATCGAAAATATATCAGATCTACTGCTAATCTACAGGGAGAACACCAGTCAAAGAGCAACTGAAAAAAGAAGAGGTATATAGAGGAGTTCTTCTTCACGGTGGTGGTGAGAATAATCGGCTAGGACGGGGGAGATCAGAAAATCTAAGCTTGCGGTGCTAGGTTTTGTTGAGAGAGAAAATATGGCCACTCAAAGGCTATTTGTTACGGGTTTGATTGGTTCATCCGTTACCATCCGCAAACGCAGCGTTTGTGAGTGGTAACGGTTGTTACCGTTTGACACCAATCAATTCTACCGCACTATGCCGTTCCAAATATCTCCAAATCAAAAGTCGCTTCCCTCGAGTGTTTGTGGTTGCGAGTGAATAATTAAAAAAAAAATTCATTTAAAAATCACAATATATATATATATATATATATAATAAGTTAAAAATCAAGATTTGGATATATTTTAATTAAGAAATATATAAATAATTTGACATTTTTAATTAGTATTTAATAACCTATCATAAATTTATATTTATAAAATTTTCAAACCGAAATTTTCTCCATAACTTTATCCTCGATCACTA